TGGATGCAACTACTATATTCATAAGTGAAGTAAGTCAGACCCACATATGCAAACATTGTACTGTCTCTCCAGCATAAGAACTTGAAAGAGTAAATAAAATCTGAAAGGTACCTTAGATTTGCAAAAGGAAATGAAAGTGCTCAAAAGGAATGAATGATGAGGAAGAAGGAAAGAGCAAAGAAATAAAAAATGGAAGAGGAAAAAATCATGTATGCATATACACAAGATTACCAAACTAATTGTACTGCTAACTTTTTTTGGTTTTTTGAAGGTAGCTTAAAATTTTTATTTTGACCAATTTTCTGTGTTTATATCTGATAATCTGAGCAGCAATGTTGAAGGCAACATTGTGCAACAGAGCAACTATTGCTGAGTACTTGTCATCTTTTTTTTAATTGTGTATTGTTTCTGATATCTTTCTTTTATATTTTTATTCTCTTTGAAATAAAAACATACATTGTTTGACATTAAAATAGGTGAATTTGAAACACAATTTTCAGTATTACTCCAGAGGTTGTCAAGAGGGGTGATCAGTAAGGTTTTGCTCTTCTGTTTCCTTCCCCTTGTCCACTCTGTTCCCCTACTCCTAGCAATTCTTCTTTTTCTTTCCTTTTATTTTAAAACAACATAATATTTCGAAATAAGCATAATAAATTTTATTTATCAGTTACGTGGTCAGGAAACAATATTCCTGGGAAACCTTTCCTGAAACAAGGAGTGCTTTGAGCCATGCTCTAGAAAATACTACTCTGGAAGATTCCAGTCGGTATCTACCCTATTTTTAGCATTGACAATCATTGTGATACTTTCTTCATAGATTTTTATTTTGGCAGTAGAGATCAAACTCAGGACCTTGCACTTGCCAGGTAGGCGCTTAAGCCGCTGAGCTGTCTCCTTGCTCTCCACTGAGCAATCTTGCCAGCTCAAAACCTCTCTATCAGGAGCTGAAGGAAACTTATTTTTCCTTCAATGGAAGGAAATGCAAAATTTGAGAGAGAAAAAAGCAACTTTAGTGCACAACAGACTCATTCTTAGAATGTGCAAGGCTCTTGATTTGTTCCTCAATACTACAAAAAAGACAAAAAGAACAGCAAAGGAATAGCACTGCCTCAGGCCTGTGAGTCATGGAATAATGATCTACCCACTAGGAGGGAAGGAGGGTGTGAGTGAGTCTTGCAGTGCTGGTGCTGGGGATTGAACCCAGAGCCTCAAGCATACTAGGAAAGTGGTCTCCCCCACTAGTCTATTCCCCCAGCTTGTGTTTTTTTTTAATAAGTACATTTTAAAATTGGCACATTGTATGTGTTTGTACAATGTTGTACATATATTCAGTAGGTAATGTTCTGTCTTTAAACCTTTTTACTTAAATAGCCCATTACATCTCAACAGGTAAATGTGGTTTTGGCTGGGTCAGGAGTGATCCCCCACCTCCATCCCTTTCTGAGAAAGGTTCTCACTATGCAGTTCAGGCTGGCCTCGAACTTACAGCAGTCCTCTTGCCTCAGCCTTCCAAGTGCTGGGATCGCAGGTGTGCTTCACCTTGCCAGTGGTCAGGAGCGATTTGATCTGTAGTCTGACTGCTATCCGAGCTATCCAAGACAGTGCATTTTCAGCTTTAAAAACGTAAGGCTGCAGGTCACTGCACTGTGTAAGAATAAAGACTTAATTTAGTTTACTTGAAAATGTATGTTTACTGAACTTATGTGGTAGGCACAACAAAATCACTATTCATTTGAAATTTACTTGGTAGTAGAAAGATAAAAATAATACATAAATCTTTTTTAATATTATAAATGTATAATGGATTTTCTA